CATACGCTTCAGCAGTAATAAACCAGGTGTGACTAGCGGTAATGGACCACACAGGGGCACAGAGATTTTGTTTGAGGTGTGCATCTATTTTTTTTTGCAGTGGAAGTTCAGTGTTGTCATATAGTGCATGCACCTTAACCCACCAGGACTTCCTAAAGTTGTGCCCGTTAACAAGCCACAATTTTTAATTTTAGGAAACGTACCAGCCACTACAGGAGCGCCCAAATTCATCCAACTAGAAACGTTTTCTACTCTATTTTTTTTTTCTGCGGCTGATAGCTGGGCCAAGTAGTGGTGGTTTAAGGCTCTCAGCTTGCCGTTTGGAGGTTAGCAGTTTTTACCATGGAGGCTTCACAAGTTTTACGCATTCCTTCTTTTGCACATAGTATTTCGTGTTTCCACATCTAGCCTTCAGGGTTTCGTGTTTCCACATTTAGGGGTCTCTAAAGGCTTTTGTGCGGAGCTTAATCGCACTGCTCACAGCCAGGTTCAGGGCTTTGGGGGAGTGGGGAGCAGACCCCGCTTGTGCTATGTCCGTGCTTAGAAAGCATGAACCTGATCTTACAAACGGCCAGGTTCATGCTTTGTTTAAGCATATACTTAGCACCAGTGAGCCTGGCCCTGAGGCAGTTCGGGGTACATGAGCAACTTCATTCCAACTGTGAGTTTTGAATACGTGACACATGACTAACCCAATCTAGACGGGGGAAGGCGGTGGCGGCGGCGGCGGAGGAGTAGGAGAAGGAGTTAATGAACACATTAACAGAAGTTTTAAGCACGTAAATTTGTACAGAACCGTACGATTGGCATACGAATGTTCTGTATGCGTCCCGGCATCCAAAAGTTTTACAAACTCTCCTTTGCCATTCGTTATGCACACACTGAAACTGTCAGACAGATTCTGACATCCCAAATCCATCACCCATCACCTCCTGTTACTCTATTACACGCGTTCTAGCCTCACTGATAGTCATCATTATCTCCAAAACATCGACAGTTCAAAACATTTGCCTGGCCGCCAGAAGCCTGGTGTTTATGTCAGGAATGGGCTCATAGTGAGAGCGAGGTTCCGCCAGGGCTCAAGTAACATTTGGGCGGGTGGGTGAGTGGGTGGGTGAGGGTGAGTGGGTGGGTGAGGGTGGGTGGGTGGGTGAGGTTGGGTAGGAAGTGTCCGCGAGGGCGAACCTTTTTGCTATTCATGAATGCACAAGATGGATACAGCAATCTGCTTAACAGTGAGCATAATTTAGTTCCTCCTTTTGCCGAGCAAGTAAAGAGAGTCAGACAAATAAAATTGAAACAAGACGCGTGGGTCAAAAACAGTGCTCTACAAATTTATTTCCAGAGGTCAAAAACAGTGCTCACACTGGGACTTTCTGGAATGAATCTGACCTTACTTGAGCTCGGATACATCCAGGATAGCCCCATTACGAGAATGCTGATCGTAGTGCTGAAGGTGCTGCTGATCGTTTAAATGCCCAGACTCCAGAGATCTTTTTTTATTTTTTTTTAATAAATACCGACAGATCGTAGGGTGTGTGCATAGAAGATATTGCGGACATTCAGACAGTACAGCAGAAGGCTTCCCTTACTAGGAAAAGTGTTCCAACAGACGGAAAATGAGACAGCAGAGATCTCAAACAGGACGGAATGAAAAAGCCAAAAGCGATAGAACTAAGAGAGGCAGGGTCGTGCCGCCTAAAAAAAAAAGAAGAAGAGAGGCAGGGTCGTGCCACCTGAAAAAGAAGAAGAAGAAGAAGAAGAAGAAGAAGAGAGAGGCAGGCTCGTGCCACACAGGGAGAGCCACAGCCCATTCCCCGCCTGATTAGGAAAGGTGTTGTTCCAGTATCCTGCCCTCATGCTGATCAGGAAAGGTGTTCCGACACCCCTTCCCTCCAATGCATAGATCTATTTTTAGCAACTAAAAGAAGTGGCATTCCTGTGAATAAAAGTTCCTGTGAATATAAATACATTCTCTGCGGTTCAAAGCAACGTCTTCACCTGAAAGTAAGAGAAAAGAATAGGGGGGGGGCGACGACAAGGCTCTCCTGAATGTGCCCACCCCCACTACTCACCCTTAGCGCTTCGAGCTTTTGCTTCAGCTTCTCCAGCTGCCGTGTGGCAGCAGTGGCAGTCGTGATCAACTTCTCGTTCTTCTTCTGGTCCTCCGACGTAGACCCGTCCCTGGCGTCAGGTTCAGCAGTGGTGCCCCCTCTCTTGTCATCTCTGCTCTTTCCACTGACAGGGATTTCTGCAGCAGCAGCAGCAGCAGCAGCAGCAGCAAGGTTCGCAGTATGCTTTTCTGTCTCCTTGACTCTCCGACAGAGCTTCCTGATCTCGAATTGACGTCCCTTCTTGACTGCCTGACCCCAGCATATGTGTCCACTCACATGCACCAAGGAGGAGAAAGAACCCCAATCTAGGTCAGATATAGACAGGAAGGGTGCAATTGAAACACACAAGGGGGCGAACACAGCACATGTTTCCACAAAATTCTTCACGTCAGGCACTGCGCGTTAGCAGTCTTGGCACGCACATTAAACCGCCAGTTCCCCCAAAGCGGAGTACTGCTCGGCACTTTGAAAGTGGCACTTAGTCTCGGTACGCACATTACTGGTTTACGCTGTAAGAGCTTTTCGAATCTGGCCTGGGCTGGTAGCGAAAGTGGCAGGCCACTTTGAAAAGGTGCAGTTTCGGACTCGCGAGCCTTGGAAGGGTTGCTTTCTCAACTTAACCTCGTGTGAACTGGTGGGTTTGATGGCACTCATGTGCGTGCATCAACTCGCATATGCACCAAGGAGGAGAAAGAACACCAATCTAGGTCAGATATGGACAGCACAAGGGTGCAACCATTGGAATAAACAAGGGGTCGACCACAGCAAATCTTTCGACAACCTTCTTCATGTAAGGCACTTAGTGTCGCCAGTCAGTCTGTGAAATGCAGTAATAGCACTTGTGTTTGCGCCAACTCGCATCCACCAAGGAGGAGAACGAACCCCAATCTAGATAGACAGCAAGGGAGCAATCGAAACAAACGGGTGACACGACCCTCAACGGTATTGGCTAAATCACAAAAATAGGCCATAGGGCCTCACCACGCCACTGTCGAAACGAAAAAGTACCAGTGCATCTTCCCCAGTGGCAAGATGCATCCGCTGCTATAAATAATAATGGATGCATCTTGCCACGTTCTCTGGGAGATGCACTTGTACTTTCTTCATTTCAACAGTGGTGTGGCGAGGTCGATATACCCATTCCCTTCTTACTCTACGTCGATGAGGATATCACAACGTCGGCGACGCAAGGGTTGTCTCTCATGTCGCGGGACACGCTTACGAACCTGACGCAGCTCCTTAACTCTATGGAAGATTTTCCCCTGTTCCGCCTTCCCTGCACCGTCGCCACCTCTCTTGCCAGCGGCTCCTTCTCGTCCCTTGTTTGGAGGCTCCCTCCTGAAGCCAATCAATCCATTAATGAACCCAAATAATCCATTGATTAATCAATAAAACAACCAAAACGAAGAGCCAATCAACACAATATTGCCCACTGGTTGTTCGAAAAACAAGCCACATCGTCCCATTGACAGCTCGGAAAACAAGCAGCAATATTGATCGCTCCGGAAGAATACACAATACTGTCCATTGATCATTCAAACAAGCAATACTGTGCCTCTAGTGAAAACTAGAGATGATTGAAAAGGCCAATCAAACTCGGAGATAGATGGTTTTACACGAAATTTATTACTGAGGTAGAAGGTGTGATCTTCAATGCAAGGTCCCCAGAAAACAAGCAATACGGGTCCATTGATGGTCCCCAGAAAACAAGCAGTGTTCTGAAAACAATGTATACAAAAGACACAAAACAGGGGGCACCATGTAGTCCATGTCTTCTTCTTCCCAGCTGCCTGATTCTGCACACTCCTGTGAGCTCTGGGATGCACTTTCAGAAACCCCACACTGCACTCTCTTGCAACTCCCAAACGACAGACATCAATATGCACTTTGACCTTTGACCTTCTCTGTGCAGAGGCCAATGTGCACTTCGACTTTCCGTGTGCAGAAGTCAAAGTCAACTCCCAAATGACAGAGGTCGATAGGCACTTTGACCTTTGACCTTCTCTGTGCAGAGGTCAATGTGCACTTTGACCTTCCGTGTGCAGAAGTCAAAGTCAACTCCCAAACAACAGAGGCCAATATGCACTTTGACCTTCTCTGTGCAGAGGTCGATGTGCACTTTGACCTTCCATGTGCAGAAGTCAAAGTCAACTCTCGAACGACAGAGGTCAATATGCACTTTGAACTTCTCTGTGCAGAGGTCAATGTGCACTTTGACCTTCCGTGTGTGGAAGTCAAAGCACAGGCTCACACCTTCCCAAACCACAGTTTGAGCCCTTCCCTACATGACGGAGCTCACCAAAGCACAGTTGCACCCCCCCTCCCTATATGTCAAGGCCATCATCAAAGCACAGTTTTACCCCTTCCCCCACTTTATACATCAAGGCCATCATCAAAGCACAGTTTTATCCCTTCCCCCCCTATATATTGTCGCACAACTATGAAGTAAAAGAGCGCACTTGCGAAACAAACGGTCAAGATTAGAATCCTGCCTCTCCCACTTCGTGGCCTTCAGACATTCATGAATTACATGTAATGTACTTGTGGGGGCGAAAGTCTAGGACGGATCTATTCTATTATTATCTGATAGTGGTAATTCTCTATGTCTACTCTTCGTTGCTGAAGTGCCCCCCGAACCATGCAAAATAGTTAGTTGCCCATTACACGGCTCACTAACTCTACTTGCTTTGAGTTCTCTTACCTATTTGGCGGGGTTTCACTGGATCAAGTGACCAGCTTTCCCCGTGGACTTCCAGGTGACCTCAGGACACGAAGCACCGCTTCAATTCCTTGATATGATATGCGACCTGCTTCACAACTTTTAAGACCATATTTTCCAAAACAAAGTTGTGCCGCAGCGTGGGAGCCTTTGCTTCTTCCTTTCTGATATTTACGAATTTTTTCTCATTCTTTTTTCAACTCCCCCTTCACTGCAATCAGACTTGCTTTCACTTCCACTTCGCATACATGCAAACAGATGGCGATTCACACTGGCGCACAGCGCCCACACCAAGCTCAGAGATATGGTAACCGAGAACACAGTTTGGATGCAAACTAGCTTCAACAGGCTATGGAGCAACAGCGCCTGTACGTCACAACTCTCGTCACTGCGTTCAACACCACTGTTCGCACTCAACTCTGGATCACCCTGAATACTCCACGCACACTCACTCTGTCTCACACACACACACACACACACTAACAGCTAATCTATGGCGGCTATGGCCGCTCGCTACTACTCCTATGGCTATGCTATCTTCCTGAAGCCCACTTCGACTTCGGGCCACCTGCAGACCACCTCGCACAAGACGCTGTAGCAGCGCTTCCGCATGGCTTACGCAGCGAATGAATGCATGGCTGGGCGCTGCATCTTGAGTTATACTTCTGTAACTCGTTGGTCTGCCCCTTTCCATCGGCCCCGGGTGCACACAGTCCCTCATGGTACTTGCTGGACTGGACTGGGACTGACTGGACCGGTACTGCTGACTGCATGGGTTTGCACTGCCAACTCGATGCAGTCTCACTGCCGACGTAATGCAGTTAGGCTTACCACTTGCCCACTTGCCTCTGACTAAACCTGAGGCAAACTCGAAAGGCCACTTCCGGACCTTCCGGAAGTCTGTAGGCTTGGCCTCTCAAGTACTGTAGCAGCTACGACCTTGACCTTTCAGGACTGTAGCAGCTACGACTTCTAGAACCCACTAAGACCTCTACCCGACAGGTCTACAGTTCGAATCCCTACAACTGCACAGACCTACGACAGACAACTATAGACTTCTAAGACGCGGGTCACGGGTTCAAACACTCAGGAATACTGTACACAGCGAAGCGAGGTCTAGGGATCGAGCCGTGGGATCTGCATTTGCTACTGCAACAGGTGAAAACCGTTTCACTCCCGCCGGCCTACATTCGAGGTCCTCCGAGAATATCTCAGTCCAAGGCAGGACCTTCACCCTTCTTATCTCTTTCGTAGGCTCTAACTATGTCGGGAGCTGTCTCTAGAAGTTCAGTTCTGGTGAACCAGCGGTTGTCTTATGGCTCCTGATATGCAAATCGAACCTTGTACTGTTTCTGGGGACGACCTCTACCTCCTGTTCTGAAGACATCTTCACCTACAATGTCGTCAATGTCGTACCTTCCGTCCATGTCCGGAGGGATCATGGATCGTCGGGATGGGAACTGTTGGTTTGCGACACAAGGCAGCAACTTTGATGCGTGAAACACTGGGTAGGTGTGGAGGTGTGCTGGGATCTCAATAGTGTAGGACGGTCCATCCTCTCCGCCCTTGACTTCTAGGACTGCCCACGGTCCTCTATACGCAGGCAATAGCTTCTGCGAGATGTTCTCCTCAGGAGCAAACTCTTTGGACTTGACCCAGACTAAGTCGCCTACTTGAAACTGCGACGGGCGACGGTGCTTGTTAGCCTGTTCTATCATTCGGTGCTGGGCTTTCCTGAGGTTCTCAACGACGGTAGCTAACTCTTTCTCATGCTGTATCGCAAACTCTCGTGTACCAGGCGGTAGCCTCTGGATCTGATCCCGGTTAAGTCCTTCAAACGGTCTGCGCGGCCTAAAGGACTTATGCAGTTCGTTGGGAGTGCAACACGTAGACAGGTGCACGCTGTTATTATAGGCACTGGCTACCTTAGGGAGCATCTCATCCCAGTTAATCTGATCGGGCCTAATGTACATTCTCAGAACTTGCTGCAGGAGTTTATTCATCTGTTCAGTCTGACCGTTAGTCTCAGGATGACGGCCAGATGACACCAACAACTTGGAACCATAAACTTTCAGCAATTCCTGCCAGTTCTGACTAGTGAAGCGGGTATCTCTATCGCTAACTATAGAGAGCGGTATACCATACTCACTGACCCAATGATCAAAAAACTTTTGAGCTACTAAATCTGTTTGTGGCTCTGAAGGCAAAGGGATGAAAACAGCATACTTGCTGAACCTATCAACTACAACTATGACTTGACTTCTGTCATGCCTACTCTTGACCCCAGCGTCCATAAAGTCAATAGACACAGAATCTCCGGGTCTATCAGGAATCGGCAAGGGTCTGAGAAGACCAAGAGGGGCTTGCGTAGGAGTCTTGTTCTTTTGACAGACTTTACAACTGCGTACGTACTCTATGCAGTCGGCTTTTATATCGGGCCATGTATACGCGCGCATGAGGTTGGCTAGTGTCTTTTGCCAACCAAAGTGTCCCTCTGTGTCGTGGCATTCCCCTAGGATCAGGCTACGGATCTCCTCACTGTTAGGAACGCACAGGCGGTCAACTACGTTAGTCTTCTCAAATAACAACCCATCAGTAGTGCGGTAATCTGGTTCGGTTTCTGGGGCCTCCTTGACTCTCTTGAGGAGGTCACTATAGATAGGATCCTGCGCATATGCTTCTCTAACTTTTTGCTGCAGATCTCTACCTATATCCAGATAGTGAACTATCGCTCCAAAGTAATCTGCTCTCCTACTTAGAGCGTCTGCAACTACATTGTACTTTCCTTTAACTGGCTCAAGCTCGAAGTCATACTGGTCTATCTCTGAAGCCCACCTAGTAAGCTTAGGTGTCATCTTGGCCTGAGTCTTTAACCACCTTAGCGTCTTGTGGTCTGAGTAGACTTTGAAGTGCCTCCCAAGTAAGTGGTGCTTCCAGTGCTCTAGCGCTTGCCTGAGAGCGTAGAGTTCCCTCTCATAGGTAGATGTCGCTACCTTCTCTGAAGGCATCCTAGCAGACATGAATTCTATGGGCCTATACCCATTGCCATCATCTTGTTGTAAAACAGCACCTATGTCGTACTAACTTGCGTCAGTGGTGACAACAAAAGGTAAGGATGGATCAGCTACCTTGAGGACTGGATACTCTATCAAGGCCCGCTTTAACTTCTTCAGGGCCGATGTACAGTCTTTGTCCCACTTCGAGATTGCTTCTTTCTTTAGTAACCTACAAAGGGGCGCAGCGATGGTAGAAAAGTTCCTTACGAACTTCCTGTAGTAGTTGGCTAGGCCTAGGAACGACCGCAATTTTGTCAACGTGCGGGGCGTCGGCCAATCTCTAATCGCTGTTATCTTGCTGTCCTCAGGTTTTATGCCATCTCCATCTAAGACGTGGTCCAAGTACAGGACTTGTGTCTTGGCCCACTCGCACTTCTTCGCGTTGATCTTGAAGTTAGCTTCTCTCAGCTTCTCCAAGACCTGCCTCAGATGGCCCTCATGCTCCTAGAGGGTCTTACTAAACACTAAAATATCATCTAGGTATACAACTACAAATCTATCTAACCACGGTCTAAACAAATCATTCATGCAGCGCTGAAAAGTAGCTGGCGCATTGGTTAGTC